CATAAGACCCTACATTATGCCAATACATATACAAGACAGTGCTATGATATTTGTGACAGAAGAAATCTTTTATTCATTTTTTTGAAAGTTTTTTACCCTAATGACCCCTATGTGACCTTTGGCCCCAAGCAGTGAACACCCCATGTATGAAAGGTGTCACCGATTATACTGACCAGGTTTGGTTGAAATAGGCACAACCGTTTGGCACTAGTAGCGTTTTGAAATGTTGCCAGAAAAAAGATAAAAATTACCCCTAAAAGACCTTTGACCCCTTATCCCTGAACACCCTATATACTCTGCTTTATGTCAATGTATATGTGCAAAGGACAAGACTGCGATACGTTATTTGTGAGTCAAGTAGTCTTTTATACGATTTTTGGTTTCTTGACCCTAATGCCCCTTATGTGACCGTTGACCCCAAGTTGTGAACAAAACATAAATGGGAGGTGGCACCTGTCCTACTGCCCAAGTCTTAATTAAATCGGTCCAGTAGTTTGCCACTAATAGCCATTTAAAATGTTGCCAAAGAAAGAAAGAACTAGAGATACTATGTTCAATAGAATATGAACCCAGTCATTTTTAAGTTCTACGAACTTTGACATATTGGGTTTAGAAGGTCCTAAGGATCATTCCTGGTAAATTCAAGCTCAATTGGGCTATTTTGAAAATTTGACCCTGATAACCCCTATGTAACCACTGATGCCAGACAGGGGTGTAGGAGGTGTCACTGGTTCTTAATGATCAAATTTTATTGAATTCGGTTCAATCGTTTGCCATTAGTAACATTTTGAACCTTTGACCAATGAACTTTGACATATTGGGTGAAGAGTATTTTTTCATGTTTAGAAGGTCCTAGGGATCATTCCTGGTAAATTTGAGCTCAATTGGGCTATTTTGAAAATTTAACTCCGATGACCCCTATGTGACCCCTGATCCTAGACAGGGGTGTAAGAGGTGTCGCCGGTTCTTAATGACGAAATCTGATTGAATTTGGTCCAATGGTTTGCCATTAGTAGCATTTTGAAATGTTACTAGAGAGAACAAAAGAATAACCCTTTAATGACTTTTGACCGTAAATTGCTGAACACCAAAAGACCCTACATTATGCCAATACATATGTGCCTAGGACAAGACAGTGCTATGATATTTGTTACAGAAGAGGTCTATTATTTATTTTTTGAAAGTTTTTTTAACCTAATGACTCCTATGTGACCTTTGACCCCAAGCTGTGAACACCCCATGTATGAGAGGTGTCACCGATTATACTGACCAGGTTTAGTTGAAATCGGCACAACCGTTTGGCACTAGTAGCGTTTATCAGAAAAAGATAAAAAATACACCTTAATGACCTTTGACCTCTTATTCCTGAACACCCAATAGACCCTGCCTTATGCCAATGTATATGTGCAAAGGACAAGACTGTGCTACGTTATTTGTGAGACAAGTAGTCTTTTATACGATTTTTGGTTTTTTGACCCTAATGCCCCTTATGTGACCTTTGACCCCAGGTTGTGAACAACACATAAATGGGAGGTGGCACCGGTCCTACTGACCAAGTTTTAGTTAAATCGGTCCAGTAGTTTGCCACTAGTAGCCTTTTAAAATGTTGCCAGAAAGAAAGAAATATACTGCTAGGAAACAGAACCCAGTCAGCATGCTGCTGCTGTCTGGGTAAAGAAAGAAGGAAGAAACTGCTAAGAAAATAGAACCCAGTCAGCTGCTGTTGACTGGGTAAGAAACTGCTAGGAAACAGAACCCAGTCAGCATGCAGCTGACTGGGTAAAAAACTGCTCGGAAACAGAACCCAGTCAGCATGGAACCTAGTCAGCATGCTGACTGGGTAAAGAAAGAAAGAAAGAAGAAACTGCTCGGAAACAAAACCCTATCAGCAGCATGCTGCTGACTCTGTCTCTTATACACATCTAGATGTGTATAAGAGACAGATATATATGTATATATATATATGTATATATATATATATATATATATTCATTCATTCATCTAGGCTACGTTCATTCACTGCTGGATGAAGCCCTCCTGAAAAAAAAAATTCCATTTCTTTCTGTCTTCTGCTGATCTATTCCATGATGTTCTTCCATAAAAATATATATGTATAGACAATATACGATACAAGATTAAAACATTAAAATTGAAAGAAAATCCATAGAAACAATGAGTGGGGAGGCGGGCATACCAAAAGGAACGGAGTTCCTGTACAATAAATGTTTGGGATCTACAAGCACTCATCAGCAAAACGAATAGTCAACAAGAAAGTTATATGAACGATTCCTTAACAAATTTCTTAAATAAATTAAAATTACCATTACGCACATGTAAAGGAAGGCAATTCCAACATGTGTATAATTGTAGATCATTATTAATTTGTTTATTTCCTTCATTTTTTTTTTATAAATTTATGTATTTATCATAGGTATGCTAATAAAACGTTTTAAATGTGAAGCCTATTAAATTGCTGATTGCCAATTGATTTACATATTAAAACAAAAAGAATCATTTAACTACAATAAGCAGCTATTTCTTATATGAATACATAGTAAGAGAGTGTTCGAACATGAATGTTATGTAGTGGTTAAATTTTTACATACTGCTTTTATTTTATTCTCGACAAAGTGCGTTTCAGCGCAAACTGGGTTTCAACAATCTGGGATTCTTAGTTTTTGATTCAGCAAACTGGCATTCAGCAAACTGTGTTTTGGCAAACTGTACTCAAAAATCTGGCAGTCAGCAACCTGAGGTTCTAAAATCTGGCGTAGAACCACCAAGAAGAAGCCGACACGAAAGTTTTCCTATATGCAAAGCATGCTTTAACGATATAACAATCATCCGTTCCCTTTTTCGAGACATCGATATTACAGGCAGTTATACTCCGGCTTTCTTTCGTAAAGGAAAATGTAGCTTCTGAAACCATAAACTGAGTTTGTTGAAACTTTCAGCAACATCGGAGTTTTAGATGTTCTGTCAAAAAAGTTGTCTAAAGAACAAGAGTATGTCTTACTGCTGCTTGGAGTTAAGGAGAAAAGTGTAAATCAAGCAAATAAAAATGACATGTTCAATAGAAAGTTTTTCAGAGACAAGATCACTGACATATCATTGTTGCCACCATGTTAGCAGAATCTCGAGCTAAGGATACTTAGCAAACATTGTTCAAGAATGAAAATAAGCAGAGGTAAATGACTGTCAATAAAAATAGTTGATGGAACAGATGGAATAAACAAATTCCTGTGAAGTCCAAGAATTGTTCATACGATAACATTCTTGGATATTCCATATATGAAGTTAGTTCGTCTTTCCATCATCTTATCTGCCTTCCTTTCCTTCTCTTTCCTGTCCGTGGTTGCCATTCTGTTAGTCTCTAGGTCCATCTGTTGTCTTGAATTCTTGATATGTGTCCAGCCCATCTCCACTTCATTTCCTTGATCTTCTCTATGATGTCTTTTACTTTTGTTTGATTTCTAATGATGGCGTGTCTCACTTTATCACGTAGTGATATGTTCAGCATTCTCCTCTCCATTGCTCTTTGTGTAGTCATTAGTTTTTGTTCCATTTCTTTTGTAGTTGACCATACCTCTGAGCCATATGTCATTTTGGTCAGGATGCATTGGTTGAAGATTTTTCTTTTTAAGGAAGTTGGTATTTCTTTGTTAGTTAATATATCCTTATATCTTCCAAAGCATTTCCAACCTTCTTTTATCCGAATAGGTACTTCTTCTTTCATGGTATCTTTCATTTTCAACGATCGTCCAAGATATGTGTATTTGTTGACTCTTTCTATCTGATGATTTTCAATTGTTATTTTATCTGGTGATTTATAGTTCGTCATGTATTAATCTTTCCCGTGTGCATTTGTAGACCGACCTTTTTTCTTTCTTTATTTAAACTCCGTTGCTGGTGTTCTAGACCCTTGACTGATGTGGTGATAAGTATTACATCGTCTGCAAATCTTAGATCTGTGAGTTGTTCTCCATCTATGTTAATCCCCTTATCTTCTAGGTTTGATTTCTTAAATACCTCTTCCAGTGTGGCTGTGAATATCTTTGGGGACAATGGGTCTCCTTGTCAACCTTTTCTTATCTGCACTTTTTTTGATATGTCATTATCTATGTGAATTTTTGCGTTTGCATTCGTGTAAATTTCTTCTTTTATTTGTATGTAACCCTCATCGATTCCCATGTTAGGTAGTGCAGCAAACATATCCCTATGTTCAATGCAGTCAAAAGCTTTTTGGTAGTCTATGAATCCCAGACACAAATTAAGTTGAAATTCTTTTGTTTTTTCAATGAGCTGGTTTACTGTTTGTAGATGATCTGTTGTGGAAAAGCCTCCCTCCCTTGTTTTTCTTCATTTTTCTGATGGCATCTTCCACTTCTGATGGTATTATATTTGGTAGTGTATTTGTTTCAGTTTCGCTCTTCTTTTTTACTGTCTTTGTTGAAGCGTAAAGATCTGTTTAGAAGTCCGAACAGATTTCTAGTATTGCTGATCTGTCTGATGTTATACTTCCATCTTTCCGTTTGAGTTGGTTGATTCTTGTTTTTGTTGTTTAACTTATTTATGTTTTTGGGACCTCTTCCACTTTCTAGAATTTCTATGATTATTTTATGTTTTCTCTTTCTGGTTCGTTGTCTTTGTTTTTTCCTCACTGTCTTTATAGTTTCTGCGTATTATATTTTTTTAACTAATGTTTTGTCTTCGATTTCTCTAAGTTTTTCCCTTCTTCAGATTTGTGATAAGTTATTTTTTTGTGATGGTGCAAGATTCATTGCTTCTTCCTTCAACACGTTTGTTATGTGGTTGCATTTGGTATCAATGTCCATGTTTGTGTTTTCTATCCTTAGACATTTAAATCGGTTTTTGAGCACAATCTGTAATTCATCTTTTCTTTCTTTCAATTTCGCTATGTTAATTCTGCTCTTCTTCTTGGTGTTAATGAATTTCAGCCTATCAAGCTTCTTGTTGATACGTATTTCTGCACTTGACATTCAATGGTCGCTTACAATATCTACTGTGGTTATCACCTCGCAGTTCTTGACAATTCCTCTCTGGCTTGTCATAATGAAGTCTATTTGATTTTTTGTTAACCCATTTGGGCTTTCCCACTTCCAGTATCTTTTCTTGTTTTTCTTAAATAATTTGTTGGTTATTATTAGCTTTTGTTCTACTGCGAATTCAGTTAGTCTTTCTCCCCTTCTGTTCCTTTGTCCTATTCCAAATGTTCCTAGGGTTAGTTCTTCTCCTGCCTCACATTTTCCTAATTTCGCATTGAAATCACCCATCAATACTGTGTATTTCCCATGGTTTTCTTTTATTGCTTTGTCTATGTCTTCATAAAATTCTTCTATAACTGAGTCATCGTAGTCATTTGTAGGTACATATGCTTGTATTACACAGATATGTTCTTTAGCTGCAAGTTGCATACTTAATGATACCACTCTATTTGAGTAACTTTTGACTTTTTTAATATAGTCCTTTAATTTTTGGTGTATAAGGAAGCCCACTCCTTTTGCATCTTTGTCATTTTCTGTTTTGCCTTTGTTGAAAAGCCAAGAGCCTCCTTTTAATTCTATCAATCCTTCCCCTTCTCTCTTCGTCTCTGCAAAGCCAATTATGTGCCACTTGAAACTGTCAAGTTCCTCCAGGTCCTTACATTGTATGTACATAGGTCAATTAGTGGGCCAGCTTTCCTACTCTCATCAACCTTGCAGCTTCCTTTCGGCTTTGACTGCCAGACATCATTTGAAGTTACTTCTGAGAGGTCAGTGGTCCTATTGCAACTATAGTTGCGCCCGTTGTGGCCATGAGCTCTACGGCCTTTCTTCAATGCTTTCTTCATAATTGCTTTTGGGTTTTTTGCCATATACTGACGCGCTGGCAAGGCAAAATGTCAGTAGAGGTTTTCTGTAGGGTTCCCTCAGCCTTAGTCTCTGGTTAAATTACCTGTCCTGGAGACACAGGTTTTGGTGCCGTTGGCTTTTTTGATAAGCTCATCCGCCCTAGATGATATTCCATCCAGCTATTTGACCCATAGGTGGGGCTAGGATGGTGAGCATCAGGGCATATCCACACACCGGTGGGCCATGTATGCTACGTCTCTGGGGCCCTTTGCTGCTCCGAGATCCCCTACACATTTAGCCTGAGATCGTAAGATCCCAGTTACCATGAGTGGCCACGATGAGGCAGTGTAGGAATCTTGAATAAGGAGAGGCTGTGTACTGGCAGGAAAGACTTACGCTCTCGGCTTTCTTTTTGCCCATGGGCTAGCAATTAACTGTCAGCTTTCCGAAGGAGAAACCAAACTCTGTCTCTTATACACATCTGAAACAGACCTAAGACGTTCTGTGGTCTGTAGGATGGGCATATGTTTCTGAATTATAGCCCTTAGTGGTGGTAACCGAGGGTGATAGGTAGTGACCAGTGGCACTCTGGTCGATCGTTGACGTGGTTTGTACGTCAGTGTTTGAGCACGAGGTATGTCCTTTGCTTTTTTTTTATAGCATTTTCAATAGGTCCTCGATGATAATTTCTATTCCGGAGATGTCCGGATAGTTCTTCTGTTCGATTCTGAAAATCTAAATCCGAAGAACAAATGCGTCTCATGCGCAATGCTTGGCTTTACGGAATGTTTTTTGTACAGTGCGAGGGTGACAGCTGCTAGGGAGCAGGTACATATGCTTATCCGTGGGTTTACGGAAGAGAACAGTTTTAAGTGCACCATTTTCCATGGTCACGGTGATGTCCAAAAAATCTACACTGCTTGTGGATTTGTTAGCAGTGAATTTGATTGTGGGATGAGCCGAATTAATGTTCAATATGAACGTATCCAAACTATCTTCACCATGGGTCCAGATCATGAAGATATCATCAATGTAACGAAACCAAACATCTGGTTTCTAGGGCTGTAGGGACAGGAAATTGGCCTCAAATTGTCCCATAAATAAGTTTGCAAAAGATGGAGCCATTTTGGTGCCCATCGCTGTGCCATGAATTTGAAGGTAATGACCGTCACCGAAAACAAAGTTATTATTGGTCAAAATCAGCATGATACGTTCACGGAGATGTGATTTAGATGGGGTTTTGCCCCGAATTTGCTTGTCATTTGAAATGCACGCATTAACACCTTCTTCATGAGGGATATTAGTATATAATGACGAAACATCAAGTGTAGCCAGAACAGTATTATTAGGTAAATTTGAAATTTGGTTAATTTTGCGGATAAAGTCCGTGGAGTCCTGAATGTACGAGAGGAGAGCAACAACATATGGTCTCAATAAATCATCCACATATTCAGAGATTTTTTCTGTAGCAGTACCGTTGCCCGAAATAATGGGTCTGCCAGGATGGCCTGCTTTGTGGATTTTGGATAGGACATAGAAACGTCCTGGTGCCGGATCGACCTGGATGAGATGGGGTCCAATTTTGGGATCGATGGAACCTTTTTTAACCATCTTCAATACAGATTTTTTCACTTCCTTAGAAATTTCCGGAGTGGGGTCCTCTGTGAGCTTCCGATAGTGAAGAAGATTGTTTAGTTGTCTTAAGGACTCCTCTTCATAGAATTTAATGTCCATTACGACAGTGGCAGAGCCTTTATCAGCTGGTTTGATGATAATATCATCACGCTGACGCAAATTGGAGATGGCCTGCCTCTCATTTTTTGTGAGATTGTCGCGGAAATCTGGGCTAGGAGTGTGGTTTTTAACGTCCTCCTCAATGGCCTGAATAAAAGTTTCTAAAGCTGGGCAACGATTCTTAGGGGAATTCCAGGTACTTTTAGGTTTGAATTTAGTAACATTGCCGTTGCCGTCGGAATCGGCGAAAAATTCACGGCATCTTAAACGTCGGAAAAAAGCTTCCAGATCCAAAGATAGTTGTTGTTGGTCAGCCTGCCTCGGTTTTGGGCAAAATTTGAGTCCTCGGGATAGAAGTTTGGTTTCTCCTTCGGAAAGCTGACAGTTAATTTGAACAACTGAATCCGTGGTGTTGCACGGATTATCACTAAAGCGCTGAATGAACCTTCTAGGTTTACGTAAAAGCCAAACATTGTGCGAAGGTTGGATCACTTGTGTTGAAGTGATATTGTCTCGACCAAATTTGTGTTGTCTCCTCAGGGAAAGTTCCTTGGAAAGCTTAAGGCAATCCTTGGCAATAATCTTGAGTTTGTTTTGAAACTCAGATGTAGGAAGGTCGCTTTTTAGCCTTCTAGTCCTAAAGTGAATTTGGTTGTCGATGTCTTTGAGAAGTTTGCGGCAGTTGCCAATTAGGACCTCATTTAATCGACATGCATTTTTGTTAAGGACGCCAATCCAGCGGGAATGGAAGTCATCACGATCTGCGAATGGAATACCAGACCTGACATGAAATTGTAGTCCTTTAGGAGCCGAATTGTTAGAACGATGTTACATAGATAGGTCCCAAATAGGTGAAATATGAGATAAACCATAAGTCCCTGCACAGATATTCCTTCATTCAATTATAATAATATTTCATTCAAAAGTAATTACATTTGTAGTGAAAAGATAACTGAGCTGTTACAAGTTTACATAAATTGGACATTAAAAGCATGAGAGTAAAGTGTTAACCTTTTTTTTTTTGGACGGACAAAAAGCGTCAAATCTTACAAGCATTTAAAATATTCATTAGTAAAATACATGTCTTCCTGTTGACGAATTTAGTAATGACTAATAGTGCATAATTATCAACCTACCAGCTTTATTGGGGCCAATTTTACCGGGGCCATTTTTACCGGGGCCATTTTTTCCTAGGCCATTCTTACCGTACACCGGTTATCCACCTTCCAAACTCATAAATACAATGTTTACGTAAAGGTTTAATTAATCGTTTAGTTTGTTTACTTTTTTGGCTATATTCAACTGGTGGAAGGTAAGCAGTGTTTTGATCGCTTTTCCCAATTGGACAGCTAACGATAGGACTGTCATAATAATGTTTCAAATTAGTTATTATTAAATCCAATATAGCATCACCTCTTGTTGGCTTAACTACTACCTGTTTCAATGAGTGAGCTCTGCACAATGGATTAATATTTAATTGATTAAAATCTCCTAGAATCACAATATCAATATCAGGACCATGTGATTTTAAAATGTCTAAAGTTGTTATCATAATGTTCAATTAATACCTCTTTAAGCTCCGAGTTGGGAGGTATATATTATACAGCACAAATAACGATTGCAGACACAGTTCTTGGAAGGCGATAGGGACGTACTCGAAGCCATATGCATTCTAATTCTTCTGGAATGCAATGTCTGATAAAGTACTTACTGGCAAATTATCCTTTACATAGACGGCCACACCACCTCCTCGTTTGTCAACTCTGGTTGTGGTACAGATGTTAAAGCCATCAACTGCCAAGTAATCATTATTAGCCTAACCATCTGAGGTTGCCAGGTCTCGGTAATAATTGCAATATCTGTTACATTGATATCAGATTGATGTAGCAGTATTTCAAGCTCATCAGATTTGTTCAATTACGATCGAGCGTTTGTAAGGAACAGTCCGGGAAGGGACTTGGCCTTACACAGAGTTGGAAAGCATGTCGGTAAGACTGCCTGCCCGCCTGCCCCTACAAAATGCTGTTTTAAGTAATGCAAGTTCCCTTAATTTGTACTTAATACTTGACGAAAGTTTAATATTTCTTGGTGCTAGTAGTCTCAGTGTTCTCCTATCATATACATACTGCGCTGGCCTATTATAGTAAGACTTCGCCACTGCTAGTCGTTGTATCGTTGAGGGAAACAATAACTTCACATATTCTGCTATGTACCACCGGTACAGGTCTAGTAGCGCCGTCGCCGTACCAGGCCTAGGTAATTCCATATCATTTACAATGTGATGTGTGGACTAGGAACTCGATCAATGACTTTCTTCGCCCCTAAGGGTCCCTTCGTGTCTGTGCTACCCGGTAACCCGGTACCAGCAACTCTCGTCGTCCACCACAGGGGCTGTCTGTTCCAGTACACCGGGGTAACCCCCTCTTTATAGTGCACACGAGCCATTGTATACACTGGGCTTACGGTTTATAGTCCTTATCCGAGAAGACTTGTTCTACCACCAGAACCATAGGCGACCGTGCCGTTCGAACCAGCGCCGATATTATGGCTATAGCTTGCGGCGTCCCTGCTAACCGCTCGACTATTTGACTATAGAATGCATTGCATTATATGTTTATATTATATATCTAATCGTTGATTTTTAATAATGTGATATGAAATATTTTAGAAATTGATCGTCTCCGGTGATTGGAAATTGATCAATATAACATGAAGAATATTATCTATAGGCCTGCCTATAGGCCGTTACTTTTCATGTCCACAAAACACCCAAATTAATGAAATATTCATGAACTATGTGTTTGAGAAATCTATTATGTAAGACCCTCCTGTCTGAGAGTGCCATTTCCGGCTATTTTTAGGTGCCATAATCATAAATTTTCTACCTCAGCCCCAACCATGGTGGGGCTGAGGTGGTATTGACCATTTGTCTGTGCAAGTTCCTCCCTTCACCCCCACCCTGTAATTCCCCTGCTTTACTGTTTTAGGTTCCTAGACAATAATCAAATAAATGAAAATTTAAATAGGATATTACAAATTATGGATTTTAGAAATCCAATAAAAAAGGCCTTCAAAATGCTATTTTGTCAGAGCTTGAAGATTCGCCCCACCCTCGCGGGGATCTCTAGGCAGTCGTCCATCGCAAGGTCCATTTTGGTTGCAAAACGCACCTCCCCATATATATATATATATATATATATATATATAATATATATATATTATATATATAGTGAGCTTATTTTTATTATGTTGCATTATTACTGTT